TGTTAACTATGTTAAACTGTTTTATTTTGTTTTCATGTGAAAGTATTGTACCCAAAGCTTAGCTTAAATGTTTATGTATAAACATTTGACAGCTTTGGGAAGAGTATTTTTGCCGTTGAAGGTAAATTTTGAAGGTCTGTTTTTCGGCATGTAAACCTGCATTTATTAAAACGAGTTCGCGAAGCATGATCAGGCCATGGGAACGGTTGCTTTATGGGGTTTTTTTGTTAAGAACGGGTTTTTCGTATTTTTGACCCTCATAACATACAATTTTACATTGTATCTCTAAACCATTTTGTAGAGCTTAAAAACAAATAATTTAGTACCTATACATTGAAATGTTTTTTACAGTTATTGGTTACGGAGAAAATTAAAAAAATGTAAATTAAAAAACCTCAAGTTATTCCAATAGCAAAGATTTTTAATTATTGTTTTTCCCTTATTTATAGACACATTTTTATAAAATTGGGTAAATTCATTTGTTTCTTATCATACTATTATTATTTTATATACTATATTACCCTCCCTGTAGCAGCAAACCTAGGTACCAGTTAAACCTAATGTTATTTAAATAGGTTTGTGAAAATCAAATTAAGCGAATGGAAATTCGCTTAGTCTTCAGGTTTGCTGAGGTGGGGGCATTTTTATTCATACTTTCATTTATTTTCTATTAATAGCAAATAAACTGGCATACTCTCTAAATCAATACGGTGTTTGCTCCAAACAGCTATATTGTGGAAATATTGAAAAAACCACAATTTTTATACGTCTTTGGAAAATTTATTTATTTTGATGGTCTGTATTTTGACCATTATTTACGCTACGGACTTGCTGTTGGGCTTAAACTGTCACAAATTTATTCTTCTTTAATGTAATAATATAAAATTTTCGGTAAAATCAACGGTTTGCGAGATTGAGTGAAAAACAATAGGAATTGCCATATTTTTTTATATTTCGATAACAAGTGGCGCGCCCCGCGGCGAGCGGCAGTATCTCGAGGTGGATAACTTGGATTTTATGTTATGGGCCCAATACTAACAACATATCCAAAAATCAGAACTACCCGACCTTTTGCATACCAAAATGTCTAATTTTACTGGACTAGTATTACACTACTGTACACCTTTTGTCTATCCTTGGACTATGACCTTCAACCCAATGAAGTGCGTATCTTTTAATTAATTTATAGTAATAAAATATAATCACACAACACGTGATTTTGTTGAAATCAACAATCTAACAGTAATTAATCCACATCACAAGCACACAAAGTGAAAAACAAGAACAGCCTCAATACCTTCGATCATAATCGCTTCAACGCTCGTATAATGAATCTCTACCAATTAACCTTAATTAGACACGTCAGCTGTGGAGCGTGGACTGCCTCCAGGTAAGGACAATTCCACTATAGCTCCGTTGCGCCAGCGGATCGTTCCGGACCCTGGCCAATTTGACGGACCGGCCGCCGCAATGTTTTCCAATTTGGTTGCTGTAACTGTACTTCGGGCGCGGTGTCCCTTTCACCTTGTGCTCTGTTGAGTGTCGGGCCTTTCACAATCACAGACGTTACAGGATCAACCCACCCACAGACAGAAACACTAGGATCGAAATAGGTTTCATAGCGGTGTCTGAAAAGATGCGCTCTCGAGAAGATACGCTCAAAGAAGGGCACATGCTGGGAGGAGGGGCAAGAGAATAGCGACTAAATTCTGAACGATTCTTTAACCTGTTTCGAAACACATGTTGGTACAAAAACAAAATCTCCCGATAGCCTAAAACATGTAAAGAATATAACATTTTAGGATTAAGCCCACCAATACTTTAAGATTTTTATTTTACTGTTTCGAAATATCTAACTTAAAATTATTTCAGCTAACGCCGTTATTGTGTCTCTCGGTGAACTTAAAACAGAGGAGCGATTCGTTTTAAGAGTCGTTCACAGAGTTGTTCTTCTCCCCCGACTCACTTCCCAAACTCCTTTATTCAATGCAATGCAATCAATCTTCAATCTGTGGTGCAATTCCATGCCCGTGGCGTGTTTTACATTACTGTATTCGGTCGAAACGCTGGTCTTTTTACTGTTTTGTCGACTAGTTTAGAAAGCGATTGTTAATTAATAGCCAAATATGAATAATATTAACTGGGGCAAGAAACTATTTATCTAGTAGAACTAGTTTTCTATCTCAAGGTTTTACAGTTGTACTTGTAATTGAGCCTGAACTGTGGTTGGAACGAGTTAAAAACTTAAAAAAAACTACGTTCATACCCATCCATGTAGAGGCATTAATCAATCATTTATAATAACAAAGAAAAAAAATATCCGTACGTTATTTACACTTGTAGTTTCCCACTTAAATTCTTCTGCCGTTTTATCACATGGATGATTTGCAATAGAGGGGTGGATTTAACGAGAAACGTGTGGGAAATGTGGGATGGGAGGGATTTTTATGTCTGTCGGGTTGGCCATGTTGGCGCAGGCAAGTGGAATATTTTATAATATCCGGATCCCACCGTTGGTCATGCCACGGCCACGCCAACGTGACTCATGTAGGCAGTGGCTGTGATATCACAGTCCACATAGTCGACCCACTCTGCCTAGCATCGCTATACGCTACACCGCTTCCCTACCTTCACACCTCACAGTACAGGCCAAACATAGGTTAGGGTGTGTAGGTATATAAACTCTTGGATACAGATTGACAAAACAACATATTAGTTAATTAAAAACTATAAGGCAGGCAGAAATATAATGTTAAGGTCTCATAAATGTGACTAAACCAGTTACGTTCAACGTCTGAGCATAGTAGGGGAGTATTATCATATCGTTATCTAGAACCAATAAAACAACTAAGTAACGTTATATTGGTCTATAGAAAACATGACTGTCTCAATCTAAAGCTAAGTAGTAGCAATAGTCCAGGTATAAACAAATGTTTGCATCGTATAATCTGTTATTGTTGCATAACATATTGCGTATGTCATCTGAATTTGAACTATAATTTTGTATATAGCTTTTACGTTTTGCAAGCCTTAAAGTTATCTACGTGCCCGCCTATTATGCGTGTGCCTTGCATGGGGCGTCCATCTAACTGGGGGGACTTGAGGGCGGGGTCCTCCCCCATAAAATGTTAAGAATAGTTTATTTACCAAATATTTGTAGCTAAATTTGCTTTATGTTTTGTAAATATATGGATATTTACATAATTTTTAAAATTTTGTTAACGTAGGGTCTCATAGACCCCCACCCCACCCTCTTAACCCATATTGATGAAGCACTGCTTGTAAATGTGTCAACTGATTACAAAATTGTTCCTGTCGTAAATATGGTTTTATTTACACTATCAAACGTATTTCATTCGCTGGGAAAGTAGTAAAGAGCATCTATCTCAATCACAGAAGCGACATTTCTCAGTTTATTTTTAATTTTTAGGGAGGTTAGAATTTTAGAAAAAAATACTTACACATATTGCTTAGTCTACTATTATCGCTAACATTGTTCAACAAGTATTTTACAGATCACGAGAAAAAAGATCTTCTAACCCCCCACTTTGCGCACGAGAAACCTCCGAAATTCAGAAACCTCTCTAAAAATACCCACGATTAGAGGAAAAGAAAGTTGGCACTCCGGATGTCCCCGGCGTGGGGCGGTGTTGGAGCTGTGAATCAATCGGCAGCATGAGCGACAGAACCAGAGAGAGAGAGAGAGAGAGAGAGCCAGGGGGTGAGATAGTGTGGGGGGGGGGAGGAGAGAGCAGCGGATCTGGACATGTCCCGGTTACACCATTGATTAGCGGGGGAAAGGCCCCAACTCCGCACTCCACTTACACGATACCTCCACAACACAACCAAGGTACAGTGGTGAAATACGAGAAGTGGGGAAGCACCGAGTGTAAAACAGATTTGCTTCGTTGAATTTTTGTAGGGGGGGGGGAGGACTTTGAACATAGAAACATCATACTGGTTCTCAGTGTCTCAAGAAAGTTGGAAAAGAAAAAATACATTTGCACCCAACCATAATGCAAATTAGGTATCTGACCCCACCATCCAAGTAATAAGTATCATTCCAATCAACCAATCGCTTCCATTTCATATTTGAAAATCCTGCTTTAGAACTCTGCTGCTTTTACGCTGTTGGTTAAAAGGAAAAAAACTAAAAAATCATAGTTCATACATTTGACTCTGTTTTCCCCTGTTTTCACTCATAAGAGTTGCTTTTTGAATACTTTTATGATAATAAATCAAAATGATAAAAAAATAGTAATCGTAAAAAAATACTTAATGCTTTCTTGATAATTTGGAGAGTATCCCATTTCCTTTTGGAATATAGACTATTGGTGGTATTACTGGTATTCAATCATAATAGTGCTAAATAATGTTTTGTACCCCCCTGCAAAACTTGCTAACCTAATTACTTGTTAAATCTAATGTTATTTAAATAGGGAATAAATCTTACTCGTGTAAAAAATAAAAATCCTACCAGATGAATGGAAATTCGCCAAGTCTGCGGGATTGCTGTAGAGGGCGGGTATTTCAAAATATTTGTTATTATTGTATAGAGTACTATTTTCTACTTCATATTCCTATTGTTTCTAAGAGATTTACTTTCTCTAATATCATGATAACCAGTCTGGCTTGACACCTGGTAATAAGTTATAACTGACTGGCTTGTTCACTCGCCTTCAAAACTTAAATTTACTGTTTCAATCTTAAGAAGGATCAATTCTTAAGATCAACACCTAGGTCCTTTGCCTAGGGCAGAGCCAGGAATAGTTATATACAATTCCTCGGAGCTGTAGCTTTATCTGTGTGAAATTTAATTATGATCGCTTTAGTAGTGTTTACGTTTACTAAGTACAAATAGACAGGCAGACACAGCTATTTATAATATTATAGATAACCAGCAAGGAAGCTTAACCCAATGTAATCCTTTCACATGCACTATTTAAAACCAAAATTAGATAAGCCACACTAAAAGTTAAAAAATTAGCAGAGATACTCACTTCTATAGAGTCAGCCTTTGTCGTTAAAACCTCGGAGGATAGTTGTTTGAGTGTCTGTGTTAGGTTCCTGGATGCTTCAGCCAGCGCTTTCGTATCCAACATGGGTTTTGCCGCTCCTGCTCTTTGCGAAGCGTTATCACACTTGCACGCACTTGTCACCGTGTCACTTTTTACACTATTGTCCACTTCCATCGTACTACTCGAACTTTCCGCGTCCACCTTCGGTGTAGAACTAGTCGTTTCGGATTTTACCGTTTCTTCCGAAGGAACTTCTGAGTCCGGTTTACGAGAGTCTAACAACGCTAGGAAACTACTACGTTTACTACACGTCGGCTTGTCCTTCTTAGGCGAGGTGGCTTCTATGGACTTGTTGACGATGGAGGTGAGAGAAGCTAGGGGGTCCGAGGTGGAAGGGGAGGATGTGGTGGTGGAGGAGAGGTGTTTGGTGGATCTCTTGGAGCTGCTAGAACTGCTGCTGGGTGTGACTGTGGACAACTGTAGCTGGATCAACATCATGTGATCTCCCAGCCTCATGGTCAGGTTGAGGGGAGCCTTGCCTGACAAGAAGTCGTTCACCTGCAACAACCAAAGTCAGAGATAAGACTACTGATCTATCTTAGGGAGAGAGAGTAATGCAACCATTCCGACTGATAACTGAAACTGGAAACAATCTTTGTCAAGTCAAAACACAAGGGAATCTCTTAAAAAATCATCTAGCAACACAGTCAAGTTAAGAGGAGCCCTTGCCTGACAGGAAGTCTTTTACCTGAAAAAAAGTCAAAGATAAGACTACTGCCCATTCCGGATGCTAACTGAATCTGGAAACACTCTTTGTCAAATCAAAACACAATACCTCTAAAGATCATCTAGCCACACAGTTTAGTTAAGAGGAGCCTAGCCTGACAGTGACCATGAGGCCTTAGTTTTTGTAAGCCTTTACAAAAACATACGAAAACACTCATTGCCAAATCAATTCAAACAACAAGGGAAGTTTCGCCAAAGATCATAGTCTCATGTTCGAGTTGAGGGGAGTCTTTACTGACAATAAATTGGCCACCTGCATCAACAAAGGTTGAAGATAACATTGCTTGGCAGATTGACCTTGAAGAAAGAAAAATGGTACCTTTCCAACTGCTATAAAACTAGGAACAATACATACACAACTAAAAATACTGTCCACCAGAAAGAAAATAGAAGAACGCTAACAAACCACTTTATAAGCGGAACTTCAACCACTGCATAAATAATAGACAGAACTCTAAATATCGCATAAACAGAACACTGCATGAACAGAACTTTAAACACTTAAACAGAACTCTAACCACTGCATTTTAAGAACACCAAACAACTGAATAAACATAAGAGCAACAACTACTGCAAACAAAAGAACTTCATCACTGGATCACAAGAATTCAATCAATTTAACACAGTCTCATGTGCTTATGGAAGACCACCTAATAAAACTTTATAAACCTTTCTATTGAAGTAAATAAATTGAACCTATACTATGCAATAAGGATAATTTTCTTTTGTCTTTGGATACAAATCAAAAGCAACTTAGGCTTTGCTAATTGCAGCAAGTACGCTGCAAATGAGGTATTTTTGCGTTGCATTTGACTAGGCGACATTCAACAAGCATATGTGGATGAAAAATGTTTCTGGTTACACGTTTTATATTTACTGTTACATAAAGTGTTATAAAACTGTCTTAGTCGTGTGTGAGACAGGTAGATGAGAGTCCTGAAGAAAAACACCTTATGTAACAGTGAAAGCAATCTGGCTTTAAGTTGATGAGTTTGTTGTTCCTAACAAGGATCGCCATTCATACAGTTTCAAACTTATACATACAGTTTTAGCAAAAATAACTACAGGTATTATCATGCCATTTAATAAAATGATTTAAAATGGAATTTAATAATCCAATTCAATTAGATGAAAAATATTAATCATCAAGCTTCAAGTAAATTAGAAGCCCTACTCCATACATTAACTAATTTTTCCAATCAGAATATTTTGCCACCATTTTTAATCAATTAAGTTAATTATCCGATACACAAGTATAGGAATAACTGGTAAGCAAGCACTTTATTCTGCTGTTGTTAGTAATAACCGCCTAACTATCTGAAACTAATAGATACTAGTGGCTTGTAGGGGCAATAGCCCCTATATTATAGCTCAGAGTAAATAAAACAAAATTTGTTTTATTTACTCTGAGATTATAGTAATTATTTTGTACAAATTATTGGTCTCATGGGTTACCCTACCTTGAATTATCATTTAACTTTTTTATTATGATATGTATAATAGTTATTACATACCTGCATAATGTGTTTTGATGTCTGCTCTATTTAAAATACAAATTCCAAAGGATATGCGGTGTGTTTATAATATAAACTTTCAAATCATAATACAACTAAGGAACATTTTCCAATAACAATCTTCATGACTATTAATTAAATATATATAGATTTCTTTAAATATAGACAAATTCACTTAGAAAAACACATATAGAGATAATGTCATCATCCAAATTGTAAAATGCTAATTAATTCTATAACAAAATCTCTCTGAAACAACATTTGTTGTTTAGTATCCATTTTGGTCTATTCCTTGGCCTTTATTTGGTTCTAGTGCTATTAACATCATCTACCCTCTTTACCCATCTAAAAGCAATATAAAGTTGACCATGGGTAAACACTGGGATTTTCAAATAAATGCCATCTTTTGTGAAGGTTCGGCCTTGCGCCACAATTTCACCAAATCAAATTGTGCAATGCACCACAATGAATGCATCCATCGTTCATTGGCCCTATGCTGTGTAATGCAATCTCATTTAAAATTGGTAATCTATACACAGGAATAACTTCATGTTCATCCGATGCTCATTTATTCTTCTTCCATTAATATCGTGCCAAATCTGGCGCCTGTAGTTCTCATTTCGAGGAACAATACCTCTGAGTGGTAGTCTTCCGACATTATACATTATTACTGTGCAAGCCATTGTAAAGTATTAAGTGTAAAAGTATCAAATTGTTTGTTCAAAAGATTTGATCTAATTTTCACTTTGTGTTGTTTACTACTTCACTAACAACTTTACAATAACAAAATAATGCACATTCAGGTGTGGTTATATTTTTCAATTTATATAATCACAGCTGTGTTTGCACTAAATAAAAAGACATAAAATTAGATTCCCATGCTATTTAAATGTGAATTGTTTTATTCCGTAATAACCTTTTGGTGCATAATTAAGAAAAATGAATAATTTTCCCCAAAATTTCATGCCTAGACCTTTAAAATGAGACCTCTCCCAGCTTTCTACGGCCTGCCGTTCACTCACAATTTCATTGTAAAATTTTGGGCTTACGGAATTAGATATATAGATAGATGAAACTTACATTATTGTTGGATAAATTGATAGTATGATAAGCATGAACTTTGATCTGGTACTTTCTAAAACTATGCAGGCTTATTTGAGAAACTTCCTTCAGACAAAATCAATATGCATCAACTCAAATCGCTAGTCTATCCACAAACCATTCACATAAACTTCACATTTCGGGCCAATTTTCAGGATAATATCTCAAGAGGAATATTTCATGGAGGGGGGATTTTTTGAGTGATACAGGAACAAAAGCCCATGGTCATTAGGTCAATGACAATAGTAAATATAAAGTAAACAATGAATTTTACGTTTAAATAACTGTGACTTCACTTTAAAAAAATGTAACTTGGCAAAGATTGTCCAACATAACCAAACATTTACCAAATAGGTGAGTGAGTTTACCTGTGAGTCATTTAGGCTTTCCAAAGCTTGCATCACACTCTGCTCTGGTCTTTGGGCCTGAAACAAACATAACAAATCAAAATCATGACGTAATTCTATAAAATAGCTTTTTTAAATAGTATTTGACGGATGTAAAATACACCTTTAGTACGAGTATTAACCAATTCTTTTATAAACATATATTTTTTACCTAGAAATTTATACTTTTCTTTAAAACCATCATGCTGAGCTAGACAAAACAATTCTGTATAACAAAGCGTTGTTGTACGACTAAATAACATTAAAAAAACACCTTTTCCCTTCCACCAAGCAGCAAACCTATGTACTCGACGAATCAAATCTAATTTTATTTAAATGGGGAATAAATATGTTTGTGGAAATATCCAATCCTACTAATATTATAAAATGAGAAAGTTTGGATGTATGGATGTATGGATGTATGTTTGTGACAAGTGAACGCGAAAAATACTGGTCGGATTGGGCTGAAATTTGGCATGATGATAGCTCACATTCCCGATTAACATATAGGCATATTCTTATTTCAAAAATCCTTTCGGGCTCCGCCCCAGTGATTCTGGAGTTTCCCATGTTAACCTTATGAGAAATGAAATTATTGAATCTTAACAGCTGTTTCAATTAAACAAGTTCTGTTCTGTGATGTTCAATAGCATTAAAGTTACAAAAATTACCAACAGGGTGCAGCACTATTATTTCTTTTACATTTATGACAACAGCTAATTTGCAACCAAAAGGTGAGTGAGCGTAGCGAACGAACTTCGACCTGGAGGCGAGTTAGCGTAGTGAACGAGCTAACCTGAAGGCAAGTGAGCGCAGCGAACGAGCTCCAACCTAAAGGTGAGTGAGCGTAGCGAACGAGCTCCAACCTAAAGGTGAGTGAGCGTAGCGAACAAACTTCAACCAGGACGTGATTGAGCCAAGCGAACGAGATAATCTTGAAAATTAAGAAGTTAAACGGGGCAAAGCCCGCGGGTTACAGCTAGTATTCCTATATATTAATAGGCAAGTATGTTTCTTGAAAACCTTGTTTCTTAACTTATCTGCATCGCAGGGAAAATCTACACATATGCTACAGTAGATGTGCAGAATCCCTTAAAAATTAAAACACTATAGCATACTAAAAGCATAGTATAAAAAATTAACATGGGCCTTATGGGTTGCCGTGTTGGTGACGAAATATAAACAGGAAAACAAATGGAAGAAATTCAAATGACATGTTTTATTAACAGCGTGGGATGAAAATAGAGTTTTAAGTCTGCACTTAAATATTTTTGGCCGAGTTTTCGACCACTGTACGCCCTCTAGTTTGAACTAAAATCCAACCAATTGAAATTTGGTTGCTGTGGCGCTGGTGTTGATTTTTGAGATGTTAAAAAGTGGAACTTTTGGATCAATCGTGGTTGTGTGGTCAGATGTGTAGCATCACCATACAAGGCGACACGTGTGTGTGTGTATGTGTGTGGATGTAATGCAGATTCCGGTAGGTGAGAAAGTAGGCCGAGAGTCGCAGTGAAACTCCAGTCACCCAAGCTGCACCTCGCCGCCTCTATACTTCCACCACACAACCAGAAACCTCTACAATCCCGAGCTTTCTGTGGAATAAATGAAATGCTGTTGGTATAGATTTTAACGTGTAAAAAATATACAGTTTAAAATGAGACTAGTTTAAAGTCCTAATTAGCGATTTCGCAAAAGAACATCTCACAAATTACGTAAATATGTTTGAAATACGTTCATTTTAGGTAATTTAGTTTTAAACTAGAGTTAATGACTCAATAAGTGAGTTCTTCTGACAACGCGCTAATACCATAGATTAAACATACTCCCTTAGGGGATGTCCCTTAGGGGATTAAACAAACATACTCCTAAGGGAGTATGTTTAATCTATGCTAATACATTGCCCCCAACATCCTACTCCCACGTGATGGATGCTAAATGCAATTCAGGATTTCTGTCGTATGCAAACACTTTTCAACCAAAATAAGAGGATAACTTACTGTTGTTATAACATTAGTATGCTGTAGTTGCATACTCTACGTCACATCTAAAAGCACGTGAACGAGTTCAGTTGTTGTATAATCAAGTAGCGGCCGACAATGGACTCGGCTCAAATCAAGTTGCATAAGGATGCGCCTAGTCACCTACAAGAATGGTTATAAACACTAGACATAACCGAATAAGAATGAGATAGTTACAATGTGACCTGAGAAAGGCCTGTAATTATTTACCTACTTTATAAACACTGAAACCTTGATTATTTCTATAGTTTTCCCTAGACAAACTAAATAAAACATACAAAAACTAGGTTGTTTTAGACTTTCGTTGGACTTAACAATGGGTACTAAAAACCTATAACTATACAGTACGTATTTGAGGGCGTGATAAACATTCAATGATATTACATTTGCGTTTTCTTTACACTGCTTTCGCAGCTACAGTATAGGCCTACTGTATGTTTAGTTTTAGAGGATGCTATGGTTTACTAAATCGTAAACCACAACAATAGAGAAAAATACAGTACGTAATGTAGTTAGCACACTCTATGGTAACTGATTGTAAGTTGGTGCTGTTAATGTTGAACGTAGTAGCAAAAATGCAATAACAATTATCAGCAATCTTACTTTGAAGTCTTCGCGGTACGAGTTCCATGTGAAGAGTACTGAACTGTATGAATTACGTATCAACATTTACGATCCAATGTGTGAGAAGAGAGAAAGCTGATTTAAAAGTAACCGATCGGCAATAATTATGTTTTACGGCGAAAGTCGTGTAAAATTAACATTTGACAAAATTAGAGTTGGAGTGCAGCCAGCAATTTATGAGGAAAATACCATTGCAAACTACATCGCAATTTCCGCACAACAGTACTACCCTTGGCAATTCCCAGGTACTGTTTATCACACTTTGCACATATGAATGCATCGTTTGCATTTTTCGAATGAACTCCGTTCTAACAAAACTATTTGAAAAGTATTCATAATTTCAAAATATATTATAATTCAAGGGAAACCGCATGCCACGACTATATTTTCTCTGACATGGAATAGGTATTTTCTATCGCTATCCTCATACCAAAACAGCCGACGACCAAAAGGCTTTAATTTGAACAAATTTTAAATCGGTAAAATTATCAATACTAAGATACCTCGTACCTCAATTCCAGGAATGAAATGGTTTACCAATTAGCACAACTATACAAAACATAACTGTTAGAAACAACTAATAGTAAGGAAATGCAAGTTTTTAATGGAATGGCTATTTTAAAAATACGCACGAAGTGTTTCACGGGAATCAATTGCGATAGCTTAAAACAGTGTCATTAATCTAGATTCTAGGTAATTGGAATTCACAAACAATGCGATAATCGTAGCATTTCTGAGCGACAAGACTTACTTTTCCAGGAACGGTTACACTGCTATTTGTGGTACCACATTTACAACACGTGGGACCTGTACTACAACGCCATATCGAGTTTCACACCCCCGTGCCGGATTTTCCGAGGCACCATGAAAGTATTGACGACAGGACGGGACGGGCCGGGGCCGGGTCGAGTAGAGCGGCGTTGCCGTGCATTGCGACGTTGCCGTTTGTCAGCTGATACACCTACTACTGTGTGGTGTGCACGGCTCTGCTCGCAGCTTTCTATCCTCGTCTCAGTCTCTAGCCACTCGCATATTGCTGCCAGATATGTTTTACCTACGTTGAAACTGGTCGAACATGCCACACTACCATCCCCAGTATACAGACTTCAAAACATATCCTTTACCTTTACCTTTACCTTTACCGGTTCTTCATCGTTGCCCAGCCATAGCTGGATAGATTGCGAAAATGTTTGTATCGTACTGACTACCATTTCTGTCACACACTTTACTTGCTTATCGTACGTAACATGTAGGACTAATACCCCTGACAGTATACCGACGTCAAAAAGTATCATACCGACTACCATCGCTGTCACACACCTCTGCCAGACCACTACCTACCACCCCTGACAGTATACGACCTCAAAATAAAACATATCGTACTGCCTAACATCCATGTCACACACCGCTTCCAGGCATTACCTACCACCCCTGACAGTATACCGACGTCAAAACATCGTACTGACGCTGCTGGCAGACTCTGTAGGCTACCTTTGTCAACTTATCGTGGATCTTTCAATCCCCGAGACCACACGTCAGATAAGGATCGGACAGTAACCTTATTTCCAGTTCTTCTGTCAGTCAATTAACCTAAGTAAAACGTATATATAGTGCGTAACACCACGTAGGCCTACTGATTCCCCTTGGTATGCAAAACGTGGGTTTCATGAACCTTGGACAATGTATAAGCATAAAAATCATATAATTAATTGTGGTTTTCGTGGGAAAGTTAATATTTAAACGCACCAAAATTAAAAATGAAATGGTTAGACCCATCTAACACGACACTAACGCCGTATCAATTTAGCGATGGAATATAACATGAAAATGTACAACACCCTCAGTCTAACACAATTACAAACATTTCTGACAGAAACATTCCACAAAACGGTGACGGTGAAAGTCTGCAATGGTCGAGATTGTCGAGAATTCTGTAAAGTAATTTACACAGCAAAAAGAAAGTGTGAATCGCTTAACATTTCACTCATTGCGGTGATGAATCACAATCCAAGAGCACGATGCTTACTCAGGCCATATAACACACTGTCTACGACATATAATTTAGCAGATTATTTTTGCGTGTGTAATATTAGCGTGTTTTAAATTCAATAATAATGGCTGAAACGTATTAACGTTCGAAATGTATAGGCCTACAGACTCAAACCGGTTTTAAAATGTAATTTTACAAAATTCCTTGCAACATCCTAACTTTCGAATTTTGTTACGAATAGTTTATTTTCGAACTAATCCGTCCCAGCTTGAACAAACACAACAAATCGGCCATTCCCCGCGTCCCAGGCCGATAACAAAGTCCATTATGATAAGTCTGTGACGTCACGGCCACGCGCTAGCGACTTGGGATTGAAAACACGACATGTCGTGCCAGCTAGCAACGAAACACATTTCACACAAGAAAATAGAAATCACGTATAGCTTGTGTCAGTGATAGTCGTGGGTTAGTGTGAGACACTATAAATGGATATCAGAATATACAGAGCAAACCTATTCAAAACTATCAATTCTGATCTTTGGCATAATTCAATATAGCCATTGTACTTTGTAAAGTGACTCACAGACTGGATGGAACAATTAATTTTCAACCATAAATCACGAATGACTAAGACAAGCCCACGGTTTATAATAGGCCTACAGCTCGTCAGTCGTCATAACACCATCGGTTTCCACAGACAAAACTCAATTTCGCGGGACCATGCCTACACTACATCCCAACTTGAGTTCTTCAATAAACCTTTAGCCCATTGCCATTATTACACTAGTTTCAATTCACATTCAGTTTTAAAATACGCATCCAGCGTTTAGTGTTGTTGTCTTTGATTCAACTAATTGATTAGCCAACTGCGTGAACATTTTCACTGTGTTCGTAGCCATTCCTTCTTGCAAAGAACACACAACATAAATTATCGAGGATAATGTTCTTGAAAATATAATAAGTTATTTAAAAAAAAACTTGATGCAAACCACAGCATGAAAAGCTATAGCATAATATACTAAAGTACAAGTTTATGTCATCATTCCAACAAAGGCAACGAATGCACTCATGCACCAAAAGTAGCGCATTTTAAATTTAAATTGCTTGCAGACAGATTCGCCCACGGAACACAGAACGTATATTTAGAACACAAAGAGAAGCCCCGGTGCTCAGACGGAAACAAGTTTTTCACGTTCAAAGTGAAACTTCACCCGGTGGGGGAGGGTGTGGGTCGCCGGTTGGGGGGGGGGGGTATTGCGGACCCTATAGGATTTTCTCTTCACGGATTCACAACAATGAATGCGCCACGGCCACAGCCCCTAGTGAAGTAGCAGGTGAAGACTTTGCTTTGTAAGAAGAAGAAGAAGGTAGACAGGTGAAACTACTGGGATTGTATTGTGCGAACTGTTACTGGATTGGAATGAGAAATGTCCCTAGCCTCTACAATGCCAAATGAATCAGGTTGAAAAATTCTCCATTTTTGGTATTCACTGGATTATACTGGTTTGCTTTAAGACAAGTCTGATACCGAAATATGTGTACCAAATGGTCCAAGAAAAATTTTTAAAGCATACGAAGTAATCATACTAATCTATCTATATATTAATAGGCAAGCATGTTTCTTTAAAACCTTTTTTCTCAGGTCGTGTGCATCGCAGGGAAAATCTACGCATACTGTTGGAAAGATATTTTCCTGTAGATGTGCAGAATGCCTCTAAAAATTAAAATAGGCTAACAAATAAGCAAAAAAAATTAATTTGAAAACTTCAAATAATTAACATGGACCATATGGGTTGCCATGATGGTGACGAAATAACAAAATGTAAACAGAAAATCAAAACAAATGGAAGAAATTCCAATCACATGTGTTATTTACAGTGTGGGGAGAAAATAGAGAAGTCTGTACATTAATTATTTTTGGTCGAGTTTCGACCACTGGACGACCTCTCGTATTATATAAATGTGGTGAAAGTGTGTTCATTTGAAGTTCACCGGTCGGATTGGGTTTTAATTTGGTATGATGATAGCTCACATTCCCGATTGATATATAGACTTATTCTTATCTCAAAAGTCTTTTCGGGCTCCGCCCCAGTGGCTCTAGAATTTCCCATGTTAACCTTGTGAGTACTGTATTAATTTTTCCAGCTGTTTCAACTACACAAGTTGGTTCTATGAATTAAATTGCATTAAAAAGGTTGCAAGGTTTACGAACAGGGTGCAGCACCATTAATTCTTTTTGCGTTTATGACAACAGCTAATTTTAACCGGAAGCAACAACAAAAAGCTGTGAGAACTTAATTTTTTCTATTGTTTAGGTGCAGTGGTAGAACATTATGGCTATGGTAGATGTGCTATAGTATAGTAAACAGTAAATTATAGTAAACCAAATTTTCTTATGACGTTCTGTCCTCTCCAATTGCAAACATAAAGCATGAGTATGACTGCAATAAGCATTTTGGGTTACTCTGCTAGTCAAAAATATATCTTGGCGATTATGTATAGCAGACTGTCATTCCAATTTATTGTAATAAAAGTTTCTAACTGTAACATGGAAATGCAATGTCTATCCATGGACAAAGCTAATAACTCAGGGGTTTTAGTGTCTGCTAACCTTAATTTCTATAAGTAAAGAGAAGAAACTATTTATTGTTTGCATGAAGATAGGGAGTTTAAAAGATTAAATTTGATAAAGAAAAGAGATTACAGAGACAAAGGTCAAAAGGAATATCAACTGGCAAATTCATGTTGGTTTAGAAACTCTGATGTGGTCAACATTAACCTAGAGATAGTGTTTAAATGCTCAAACTTACATACCAAACATAGATGGTAATTAATTAACATTGTTAAAACTTTACTCACACTAATTGATCAAAGTCTAAATAACTCAAACTTTAACTAATCATTTATTAAAGTAAAAAATATTCATTAAAACACCCTACTCTTGCAAATGTTTGCTACATTTTTGCTTCAGTTAGCAACTATTTCCAGGATTTTACAGTACAGTTACATTATTTAAAAACTTGGTCAAACTTTCTGGGATAGACCAAATAACAGTTTAACTGTCGATATGTTATCTCTCATCTATATATTTATTTGTGTATCATTGGAAAAACAAACTTAATGTTGACAAAAAATATGTTGTTATAACCACTGACAAAGCAGTTTGAGAAACTCAAGACCTTAGGCTCTACTAGACGGAGTTTTAAAAGCTAAACACAATTTTATTAATATTAAATTTCAATGTTTTATAGAGATTTCCCACAAAATGAACATTTAAAACACGCAAGATACTAAAATAACAAATCTATCTATCTTCTATCTATATACTGTAATTAATACGCTTTACATTAAACTTTATGAACAATAAGGCTTTTTGATTTAAGATTTAACCCCACTACCAAAATGTTCGTCGAGGTGTATAGATTTGCAAACTGACCTTAGATTTTTGAAAAGGCCGCTTGGGCTCTGCCCTAGTGGCTTTTAAAGTTCCCATGTTTATCCTTGAAGAACATATTTGTTTACATTATGATCAGCTGGATAATTTAGTTAATGTCAATATTTTAGTTGCAATTAAGGAAAAGTGTGCTACAAAGAGTATTTAACATTTCTAGATTTAGCCGGAGTATGTTTTATCTATGCTAATAGTACCAAGATACGTACGTACATCTATGAAGAAAAAAACTATTCTATCTATAACCACTTATTCTACATCGTTTTAATTTTACCCCGGGTTTGCTGCTAGTCAGTTAATAATAAATCCACCACTTAAAACCATAATGATTTGAACATGGGCAATTTGCTAATGATTAATCTTTGTTTGCCAATGTGTTCATTACATAAATTAAATATAACTTCAAAGTCAAGTATGAAGGTTACGTACCAAAAAACCTTTTGAAAATATCAACAAGGTTTAATGTTTTTTATTAATTATTTTACCAAAAATATTTTTAAAATGCAAAATAAAAGTTCAATGTAAGAAAGGTTGGAATGAATAGTTGATGTAATTAGACCTTTGGTTGATTAACTAGCCAACATGGAATTGTACACTAGTGGCTCAGCCATTTCCCTAGATCAGCATTCACTTGACCTACTTTCTACATAGAATGATGTAATAATCACGCAGCATAAAAAAAATTAATATTTAAATAATTTAATTAACATTGCTTCATTAAAAAAAAACCTCAATAAGACACGGGACCTTTTGAGTGAAGAGGGCTGGGTCCTAGTTTTGGAAAGCTGAGTTATAAGACTTACAAGCGAATTTCCCCCTTGGAAAGTGGCTAATACCCCAAGTGGTGTGGTAAGACCTACTAGTAGACCTTTCCATTTTGATGTTCCAAGAGGCCAAAAACACTATTTGTTAGAATTTGTATAGGACATGATAAATACATAAGGCTTATATATGGGTTTGTGTGTTCGTGAACTTGATAAATCGAGTAAGTTTGGTCCGATTTGGATAAGACTGAATAAGAATGAATGAGTTTGTGAGCAAGATCAGGGTAATGTGAACAAGGATGGGGTTTAAAATTGTACAAAAGTTGGTTTAGTCAACTGTTTACCCAATGTTTAGTCAAACATGGAATCGCCCAATTTTTAATATGACCATTGCGTAGATCATTTTCTATATTGAAGCTTGTTGAAAAATTAAAGGTTACGGAGATAATTCCTAAATACCTAACATTTAAAAATGTCATATTATTCTTGTGGAGTAAAATCTAAGTACTCGTTAATCCTAATGGTATTTGAACAGGAAATAAATCTGACATATTTAAGGAAAATATTTAATTTAAATCTAAATGAAAATCCGCTTAGTCAGCAGGTTTGCTGTGGGGAGTTAGGATAAAATTGTCAACCTACTGATTCCTACGCGAATCGGATAACCACACATTTATGACATGAATCAAACCGAATAGAAACTTGACTTAGGTACAATGGATGGAAACTATGTTACAAAGTACAGTTGAGTCGTAAGACATTCAAGGTCGCAAGGTTTACTCACCAAGAGCCCTGTTTCTACGCTGGGCAGGAGAGTGAGCCGGCTGCCATCAACTAGCTGATTCTCCTGTACTGTTCCGTCTCGCAATTGTCTGAAACAATAACAATCGTTAAATTCCAAGCTAAAATAAAACTAATATTTAAAAAACAAATTCAACACTACTCTTCCTATTGAGGTCTCAATGTTCTTAAAATATGGTGTCGGTGGCTCTGTTAGGTAGCTCAATAGGCTGTGGAACCAACATTGTCTCAGGGCTGCATTGGATGTTTGATGTTTGCTGTTTAAGTTTGATGATACGCTAAGAAGATTTACCTACACCAATGAAAAATATACATGTATTTGCCTAATCTGATGAAAAAACAGAAATTTAAAGGAAAAGATCTAAATGGAAAGTCCCTGGACCCCCTTGGTGGGTGTTTGTTTTAAAACTCAATAATTAAGAGAATAACTTAGTGTCTTGAGAAAATTTCTATCTTAGTAGAACACAAATATAGCAGTTATTGGCTGTGGTAGTAAATTAGGCCCTAATTAATACTGAATAGTACCCCTAAAGTAAAACTAAACTTAAACTACGTATGTTATTATTATTTTTTTTTACCTTATCTACAAAATTTGGCTATTTTAAGCACTCTTTACCTTTGGCACTTTTGGGGGAAACAACTACTTCACCCTGAAAAATGTATTTGAATATCGCAAAAAGCACTAGGCCTAAACTTAGAAATCAATAATTTTTGGCGTTTGAAAATTTTCTTATTTTCTTTATAAATAGGCTACCTATGTGTTTTTATTTATTTTAAGGGTGAAATAGGTGTATCCCCAAAGGTGTGTTGACAAAAGCCTACTTAAAGGATAGTAGTGCTTAAAATAGCCTAATTTTGGTGGATAAGGTAAAAAAATGCAATACAACATAAGTACTCATAAGTTCAGTATTACCTTAATTTCATACAAAGAAGCTGAAAAGACATCTAAATCAGTTGATCCCTTTTATTTTTTAATTTCATTCCTCGATAAACAAAAAAAGGTTTTTCATCTTGCACTAGGTTTCGCTTTGTCTAAGGTTCTTGACGGCTCTTACTAGTCAGACTGATTTATTTCTACAACATTCTTCAAATTTCTGTGGACTCAACTGTTGTATCCCCTAGGCCTATTTTTTTTGTAGGGGTTTTTTTTACTCTTACCTTAATCGTGAAATAGCTTATAGTCTAGTTTTTGTCGATTAGTCGAAGACCACTAACCAAAAAGGCTGCTTTAGGATTCAATCTGATGGTTAGGGACATACTGGTATTATAATTTTAGAATTTAAACGGTAGGTTAAGCTAAACCAACGATAGGTACCAATAATCTAACTAATTTAGGCCTAGATAGTATTGGGAGTACAATAATGCAGGTAGAATATATACATGTATTGAGAATAAGATGTTCCTTCTTCAAAGTAGACCTACCGAATAAAGGTAGGCACAAGTAGTTAAACATATTTAGCTCAAATCCTTAACCTAACCATAACAACCAGTCACAGATAGAGTGGAGCCTAGAGAGGGGCCAACCAAGGTTGGATATGTAGGTCATATTGTTCTACCGACTCTCTTCACTCCAAACAACCAGCGACCAGGGCCAACCGCCATCACCTCTGCCTAGACCTACTTTCCGCGACACGCCACCATACAACCAACACCATGTAGGCTATAGTTAGTAGCAAGACTATTATGCCCCTGAGTTTGATTTAGAAAAGATTAACATGAGCATAGGTCATCGATCAATTCCTTAGATGGGGTGATTGGTTTGGAAAATAAACGTAATCAGCTGACATTTCTCCCATAACCTTGTTAATGACCCTTACAATGGGTAAGCGGTGGAAGTAACTGAACCATGATATTTCATGGGAAACACAAAAATTTGTATAACCTTTGAACCGTAAATTGCATAGGGGATTGTAGGTAACCATGACATGTAGGCAGCCAACCCATTTTAATCAAAATAAGTCTCAGGTAAGTTAGTTCTTCAAGCTGCTTTGTGTGGATCTGATTTTATGTCATTCTATTGATTTTTATGAAAAATCACCATTAAGTTAAAACTTAAGTCAAGATCGTAAAAAATGTAAAAAGCGCCTGGAGAGGCCATAAATTACTACCCACTTACAAAGTTAAATTTAACGAAAATCGGGCCACAGATGTAGTGTCAGCTCTGTACACATCCACACAGGCACATAGATACTATTTCAAAACCCACTTCTTTGGGTTCAGGAAGACCCAAACGGATATTTCCTCAAAAAATCAAACAAAAAAATGTTGATGAAAACAATAGATTCTCCATAGCCAAGTAGGGCCTACTCTTCAAAGTACCGGTACTAGGCCTATTTAAAAAATACAAGCATTTTTGAAATAGGTTGTACTTTGGAAACGGTGTTTTTCTTTTTAATTGTACAAAAACACACTGTAGGTAACATAAACGGCTGCACTTTAGTTTACTTCCTACATTTACTCACATACTGCAGTTTGGTTAAACGTAGTCAGCAAACTGACATTTAGTTTAGGTTTAGCTTATAACAGTTTCATTTTATAATCAGCTGGAATTTAATGTATAATGTATAGCCTAAAAGCATACTAGTAACAACTCAATTCATTATAACCTAAACTTTTTTACCTCCCTCATCTTTTTAAACCTAACTTCAAAACACTTAATGCAGTACCCCTGAAATGCCAAGAACTGTATGTAACATATTGTCAGAGAGTCCACATCTATATCTCTATAATGTGACAAAATCCCCTTTATAGAAAACATTATTGTATACAGAATCACTATTTCTCTAGTCAATGATCACTTAATGTTATAAGTTAATCAACAATGTTATTTTTCTCATCGGTTACTCTCTTTACTCGAACTTAGCATAGCAGACAGACTAGCAGCACAACCCTCATCTAATGTCAAGCTACAGACCTATCTCTATTATTCCAGCACTGGCCAAAGTGTTTGAGACTGTTATGAAGGACCAGTTGGTGTCCCACTTTGAAAGGAACAAGCTATTCGCAGAAGCACAACATGGATTCAGGGAGAAGGGAGAAGAAATCAACATTGACTGCCGTGTTGAAACTGGTCTCTAGTATTTTGGACACATATTTGAGGAAAGAGGTCCAGCATCCCTTGTTCTTGCCGATTTAAGTAAGGCATTTGAGTGTGTTCCGTCACAAAGTTCTACTGCAAAAATTGAAGAAATATAGTCTCCAAGGACCAGTCCTACATCTGCTGTACTCCTATCTCCAAGACCGTCAGCAGATAGTCTCAATACGAGGAGCCTCATCTTCCCCCCTTCCAGTGAGACATGGTGTCCCACAGGGCTCCGTCATGGGTCCAGTGCTCTTTATCATTGCGGTAAATGACTTAAATTTGCTAGGTGATATCCTACTCTTTGCAGATGACACCACCATATGCTCAAGGGGTAAAACACTAGAAGATGCTAGAAGATGCAAGTCTGAGGGCAAATGAAATTTTCAACAAGGCAAAGACCTGGTTTGAAGTTAATAGGCTAAGCCTCAATGCCGACAAACCCAAACTATGACATGCAGCCTTAGCCAGGGTTGCCAGCCTGAGACGGTGAAACTGTTGGGCTTCCAACCCGACTCAAGACTAATGTTGAACGAGCATACAGAAAATGTCTGCAAGAAGCTGTCAAGCGTTGTACACCCGCTGCATAGGGTTAAGCCACTTTTGTTAAAGGAACATCTAACCATAATTTATCATGGGCTCTTTCATAGCCATCTTAGCTATGGCCTGCAGCTGTGGGGCCATATATCTAGTTGTGATGCCATCTTCCTTCTCCAGAAAAAAGCTCCTCGGCCGACTATCTAGACCACTGTAGGCCAATTTTTCGGCAACTGGGAATCCTCACTGTGTGCAGCAATTATATTTTCGTAAGCCTACTACACGTCAAGGTAAACATAAGTCACCTTTTGTACAAGAGCAGAGATGCATGGCCTGAATCTTCGACATGGCATCAGATTAAACCTCCCGTACTACAGACTCACAAAAAAAAGGACTGTTTCCCTCACCTGGCCCTCAAGATGTTCAATAGGCTGCCAGCTGGAGTTAAATGCCTGGATGACAATAGTTTCAAGACCAAAATTAAGTCCTGGCTCATTGGTAGAGCATATCACTCACTGAAAGAGTTCTTCGAGGACAACTTTAGCAACCTTGTCTAGCCAAAACAAAACATTAACGCAATCAATTCAGTAACACTGGTCAAAGATGAAGACTTCAAGTATCAAGTAAGATTTGGTTTTGGTAGGGTATTCTACTAGGCCTATTCTAGTTCTAGTTGTAAGCCGCGTTTACACCGGAGTTTGAAACACGAGTTGCAAACAAAAATTGCAAACATCTCTAAAAACGTCCATTTTTAGACAAAACATTTCACTGTTGCAAACAGTTTTTTGGTGTTTGCAACATAAATTTTTGTTTCCACCTGAAGTCCGTAAAGATCAACAGAGAGTTGCAAACTCTTGTTTGCAACACTGGTTTCTGTCACTATGTGCCATTGAAACACGAAACCGAAACATTTCCCCGCCATCCCCTACGCTGCCACCTCCACTCTCACTCACATGATCACTCGCACCACCCTGTGTCTCACTCAAGTGTCATTACCCTGTCTGGACCATGGAGGAAGGGTCTGGACTTCTACTAGTAACCTCATGCTTGTTGTGAGTGATCAGTAGTGAGTGACAATTGAAATTTAACTGAGTGAGATGGAATGGGGAGATGACAACATTCTAAAGTTAATTAGCTTGTAGGCCTACAGTAAGCAGCAATTTCTATGGAACCAACCTATTTCCGATTACAAAAATAAAAAAAATAAAAACCACCAAGGCTACGGGCGAAAGTGAAAGGATACACATGGAATGACATTTCATTCAAAATGACATCCTCAGAAGGACTGATCCAGGAACCAGAACATAAGACGAGTCATAATCAACGTCGAAAGTGTTTCAAACATTTTCATAAAACATGGTAGCCTAATAAAACCATGAAATAAAAATTTCAAACTTTTATTTGAAACTACTGTTTGCAATTATTTGAAATACTGAACTGTTTGCAATAAACGTTTGCAACGTTTTGTTTGAAACTTCGGTGTAAACGCAGCTGTAGTGAAGTGATGTGTCATCAGGCCTAATTGCCAAATGCCAATCAGATCAGAGTTAGTTAACTTAAAAGATCTTTCAGTTGCTTGATGTAGGCTATGTGTGGTTGAAAACATCAGCTGTTGGCTTACTTAAAACACCCACTATTCATTTTTCTCGTAAATGTCAACCATCCTAACCTTGTTTATTCTAATGTTGTACTTATATTTTTACGGTGATATCTTAAGAATAATTATCAGCGGTGAAAAATAATGGTATAGGCCTATTTGGATTCAGGATGTATAAAAAACTAAGTTATAAAGTAAGATACTGTATCAAAATTAAAAATTTGTTTGGAGGCACCTATAGTAGGCTAAATAAATGCCCACTTTAAGCCTCGCCGCTCCACTATGTTTTCATCCTTAGCCTGTCTATCTCAGACTAAGAGGCAACCTACAACAAGACCAAAGGGACAATGGCTGGGGCTGGCCCAGAGAGTAAATTCCATTCACCTATCCTGCTTCACTGAATCAACACATTAAAACTTTAAGTAAAAGAAGAGGAAATAGAAAATTTAAAAAAAGTAATAACCTATGGCTATTAACTTATGATAACCTTAACTTAAGCCTGAAATACATGTGAAGAAGTCCCATGTCGCATTGCGGGCCTTAGTTACCAAAAATTATAATGAACTTATCAGAGCTAGGGCCACATAAGTTAACTTAGGACTACCTAAACTTAGTCCTAGTAACTTAAGAGATTATTACCTGTATCCAACCTAATTTGCCCAGTAGTTAGGCTGGTTAAGTAGGCCTAATTAAATTAACAATTTAACTTGGTACCTACTTGGCCTTATTGGAATGCAAACCCAATTTATTTATTTAGTTAACTTACAGTAGATATAAGTTAGGTAACATGAATTGATTACGGTACATCTTTTCAGATGTTTGCCTGTAGAGGCCTAGTTCTAAAGCATCAAATTTCTCCTACCAGGATTTCCAAATCGATGAAGACTTAGGCCTACGATGAAGTGGTGTAAGCTATGCCTACTTAACTTAGGTCCCGTAAAACTGAACTTACAAACATAGGTAGGCTAGGCTAAGTAGAGTGTCTTTACAATGTCATTCCAAACAGTAGAACAACTGTGTGCAAGCATTTCCTAGGAATTTCACTCTACTTCAGCCTTGATAGGATTTAGGCCTACAAACCATTGCCTCAGGTAACTTAACTCTCAGAAGAAGGAAGATAGGCCTAATTAGGCTAACTTACTTAGGGCCAAGTTATGTGTTATATTCTTACCTTTCTCTGTGCAGCAAACATATCCGTTCTTTTGGCACTTTTAATTTTTTTGAAATTAATTTCTTAAGATTTTCTATTGTCTCGCTTTTCGTTACTGCCAAATCGAACTGTCCACCAGTAGTTGGTGTTACCGAAATTGTAATATTAGAAGGGGAATTTTTACAGCCACACCCCGGGTCACTCTCGGAATGGTTTTGAGTACTTTCTGTCGTAGCATTAGCACTGCTACTCTCCATTGTGGATATAAAAACTCACTACACCAACGCCACCATACACTGACGAAGATCGCACAGAGAGATTTCACTTTTCTCGCACAACAAAGGATCTCGATTGCCAAAAATGCTTGACGACACCACCCTTGTACCAACCGCGACGAACGAAAGTCAACTGAATTGCACTGACTGCTACTGCCGGACAAACAGGCAAGTGGCAGGTACAATACGTTGACTCCAACCTCCGACTGACGACAGAAGGACTTTGACTTGGACTTGACTTGACTGACTGGCTGGCAGCCTGGCAGGAGCAGCAGCTGGCAAAAACAAGGTTGGCCAACGAAGTAAAGATATATTTCCCGGAAATCCCCGATCTCCCATTTTAGTGTCCCACCCTAAATGGCCCCCAACCCAAAGCCTACCAACGTTAACGTTGGCTTGGCTTGGGGGTTTGCTAACGGACACAAATACACACACACAATGATGAATTTGAACGGATTTTTCTTTTAGCCGCCGAGGACATAAAAAACTTGAAGGAAAGAAGAAGAAGAAGAAGGACATAAAAACCGCCGCAGCAAACCTGCGGATTAATTAGCGAATTTCCATTTGCCTGATTGGATTTACATTAAATGTTTCCTTAAAAATATCACATTTATTCCCTATTTATAAATAGCATTAGTTTAAAGAGTAGTTCGCTCTCATTGATTCTGCATTATGAATTAAATGATCTGCAGCAAGCATAATGCAAAACAAAATACGGTCTAGTCTGGAATAGTACATTTCATCACTTGGCCTAAATAAAATAAAATCTATAAAATATAAAAATATAAAATCTATAAGATATATAAACAAAATTATAAAAATTGCTAAATTTTATTTACGAAAATGTGTAGTTAATTATTCGGTTCTTTCCCGTTAATTCACTACCACTACTTTTTTATTGCAATTCCGATATTTTTTACAGTTTGCCTAGTCTATGAATAAATCTATACTTATCCATTATAAAACGAAACTATTCGAAACTAACCACTATTTTTCTAGTAATCATGAAACTAACCTAACCAACCAAAGTTGCTGATCATGACAAATTCTGTTAGTGAATAAATGGAATTGCAAATAAAAAAAACATTAGTGGTAGTAAGTTAAATTTACGGAAATGAACCAATTATTCTTCCTATAAAATATGAAATTCGATATAATTGGAAATTTTCTTATTTGTGAGATTCAAATTTATGCAGCCTTGCTTATTATTACTGACAACCCGAAAAATAACGGCACAAATAAAAGTATTATATCAAATAGAGGGCATCGTTGGCATCGAGTAATATTTCCCCTAAAGTGGGAAATTTAATGTAGTTGGGGAAATTTCGTGCCGGTCAGAACCTTCAGTCTGTATCCCTGTGCAACTACTGCCAGCTAAGCCAATTATTGCCAAAAGCAAAAGCCAAAAAGCGCCTAACTGGAAAACATTGATTTATGAGTGTATTTCACTTGTTTACAACTGTGACTAAACTCAAATATAGCATTTATCATACCCATCATGAACCTAACAACATGTCCTGATGATATCATTATGTAAGTTCTAAAAATGATATTGTCTTGTTTTCGGAATTATTTGCAGTCCTAGCAATGCAATCGTAATGCCACATACTTTATTTACAGGGCCATGAAAAACACCCACGTGACTTTATGGGTCCATTTAATCTTAAGGGGTAAAACTTAATACAACTAAATTCCCTCTGTAAAGCATTTAGGCACCTTTATTCGTGTATAACTGTTATAAATATTTTCGTTGGTAAATTAACGAATTTCTTAACAAGGAAACCCTATTACCATTACAGTACCATTATTGTTGACTCTAAATCCGAAGTGGCCGAGACTGATTTACTTTTTTACTTTGATGTCCCCAAAGTCTAAAAACACTAATTATTGGTAACATTCATATCTACATAAAAAATAAATATCTGACATTAAGGGAATATTTTAGTGAAAATTTAGCCAGGTAAATAGAAATTTGCTTGGTCTGTTTCATGAGTGAGGGAATAAAGATTGCTGTAATACTTATACCTCAGAACAGAAGAAGAGATGATGTAATATATTTGCTATAAATAATGGAGATAACAACTAGATGTATATCATGGACTTCGGATTTAATAAATATGACAATAACTTCGTGATCACTATTATAATAAAAATGTGAAAATGCAACACCCAATACCTTAGCACTAAACTGTTTCTGATTCAGCCTTCTATAAAGGAAGACTGCCCGTTAAACATTTCTATCAGCCGGTAACATTCGGAGATTTGTAGGAGCCTGTCAAATTGCACCAAGGAACAATGCTATTGCATAATATAATGAATTACATAATACTACTATAATTATTTAAATAAAAACTACTAAAGCAAATATGGTGATCAGCTTTTGGTACCAAATTAGACATGCCATTAATTAATTAAAGTGTATGTGGATTCTTGTAACGGAATGTTCCTCAAAGAGGACAAAGTTGAACGTACGTTTAGTAAGACATGTTAAGCCTATATTTGTTCTTTAGCTTTTATTTTGGGATAGGCTAGTTGACAAGAACATAAAAAGATCTCTTATAAAATTGTTCTTTCCAGTTCGTCATGATAAAAGTATGAGTAGGCCTATATAAAAGAGTAAAATGTATTTTGCAACAGCTCCCTCAGTCACTTGATTTTAGCGAATTTTTATTACTATTCTGATACTAGCTATGACCTTCAACAGGAAAATGAAATGTTTATAAATAACTATAACCATAAATACATTTTCCACTGCAATGTATCCATGAAAACTACAGAATTCATTTTTTGTTACGATTGCCTGCTGCACACAACTGTTGAACTGTTGCGGTGGCCAAATTGCAGGCGCTTAGGAAATTGCTGTAGACGCTCCTTCTAATAACATAAACTTAGTAGGTAATGTAGGTGATGATCATAAGTTATTATATTTTCTGTGTTTTATGAGCACAATATCGAAAGTTAATGTTGCGACATATTAAACAAGTTAAAGTTATTTTCTATATGGTGTATGGCGAGTTGTGTTTACTTTACTTGTCGAAATAGGTGTAAAAATACAAAATGATAAGATAGAATCGGATTGAATAATTTTCTGTTTGTGCAAACAAAACATTAAACAGAACAACTTTAATAGCATATAATTAAATGTTTACGAGCTGCTATACTCGTGCTTCTTCTTCTTCTTCCTCCTCTTCCTTTTTTTCTTCTTCTTCGTGAAGTTCAGTCTAGAAAGCTTAAACCCTACTGTACTGTAGCGAAGAGAGAATGCTGTTATTTTTTAATGGCTTCTCTTATTGAAGCACCAATGCTTATTGTTTATTTTTAATTTGACTTATAAGAATTGACATGACCAATGCAAATTTTGTATTTTATTTTGGTTCAATAAATCTGCTGTATGATATAATTAAACATCTATTATTTATCCGTCAAAAGGGCTCCGCCCCAGTGGCTCTGGAGTTTCCCATGTTAACCTTATGAGTACTTATAATTAAATGGAATTAAAGAATCTTAACAGCTGGTTCAACCATGGTTCAACTAAACAATTTGATTCTGTGGTGTTCAATAGCATTAAAAAGTTAAAAGGTTTACCAACAGGGTGCAGCACTATGATATATTTTTAATTTATGACAACAGCTAATTTGCAACCAAAAGGTGAGTGAGAGTAGCGAACGAACTTCAACCTGGAGGCGAGTTAGCGTAGCGAACGAGCTAACCTGAAGGCAAGTAAGCGTAGCAAACGAACTTCAACCAGGACGTGATTGAGCAATGTGAACGTGCTCATCTTGAAAATGAACGAGCATTTGTCATAAAACCACATTAGGACAGGACGACGTCTGTCGGGCCAGCTAGTAAACAATAAAAGGGATGGTAATGCCTTAATATTTTTATCTTTTGTTCTATACCCACACAATCTAACATAAATTATTAAGTGAATAATAATCGTGCGTGCTATCTCAGGTATTCAAATGCCATTACTGGCATTAAAAGAAGGGACTCCATTAATACTAATGCGAAACTTAAATCCACTTAAAAGGAGAAATAGTCTTAATCCCAAGAATACTGATGACTTCATCCAAATTACCCTCTGAATTGAAGCAACTACAATTTCCTTTTTTTGTCTTTCTTTCCCAATCACCATTATAAGGCACTATGGCAAACCCTGACTATCGTCGGTTTAAATTTTGAAAATGCATGCTTTTCACACGGACAGCTGTATGTTGCGTGCTCACGTGGTGGTAGGTACGTCTAAAAACTTATAGAAAAAACAAAAAAAAATTGTTTAGGACCTATTCACTGGCAATTAAGTAAAATATTCTATTTTTATTTTTGGTACACACTTTTATTATTCATCGTAAAGAACAAATTACCATTTACAATAATAGTTGTTAAGCGCAGTAACGCGCGCCGGGTAACTGCTAGTATCCTATACATTTCACAGTTTGTATTACATTAATCTCTTCTATATTGAGGTATTTTTTAAAATTTAATATTTTACCAACAAATTTGTTTACGACATCGGCCTTTTATTGAAATTAATTATTATTTATTTTTGGATATTGGCCTTTTATGACATGATTAAATAGAAGCATACACAATATAGACTCAATTAAATAGCATGTTTAAAAAAATCATAAAAATTAATTGTGTAGCATTATGTGAAGTTATAAGGCATTATTAATTTACATTTCTTGTTCCATAACAAATTGCTATAAGACGTTTTTTAATACAAATCAAGAACATTTTCAAAGTTTCTTTAAGTTTTTCTAACAGTCTTCAATACCAGTTTCAGTAGTCTTTTGTTCAGACATCGTTATCTTGAATTATTAAATTACATTTTCTTAGATAAACAATGTTTTTTTATAAAAGACATTTTTAATATAAATCAAGAACATTTTCACAAATAATAATAATAATAATAATAAATCTTTATTTCTCCACAAGTAATACAATAAAATTACAAAGATCTATAAAAACAAATTATTTTACAATGTAATCAAAACTTATTGTTTATTAATTAAATAAAAACAGTTTGCTTTAACTTGCGAAGAAATATACGCACCCAAAGAAGATTAAAACTTCTGTGTGTGGGCGGGAGTCTCAACTAATACTTAACAATAACAAAAAATTCTCTGAAAAGGGTAACAAAATAAATTATAAATTAAATTTACCTTTAGTCCAATAACTTTTGTGGAAAACACAACAAAGAAAACAAGATTCACCAATATCTAGGAAGTAAAACGAAAAGTATGTAACTATAATAATGAGAACATTTTAAGAAATTGAAGGAAACAATGAAAACCCAGACTCTGAAATACAGATACTTACCAAGATAAAGCAAATACTTATAGTCCAGGAATTTTAGGGATTCAAATGCCATTCGACCTAACAAATTCGAACTACCTAGAAATTTTGCACAGCTGTTAAGTAAGCCATGTTCTTGAAAATGTCAAAAGTCCCCGGAAATCCCTGCTGTGCTTCAGCCGCCATCTTGGAAAATGGCGGCCAATTTTCACTTTTTTGACAATATTTCCCAAACTATTGGTATTAGAGAATGTTTGTAAATACAAAAGTTAAAGAACACCTAAAAATACACATTTTTTATATTACAAGGTTTGCTCTATCTCTAACGGCTATTGAGATAAATAATAAAAATAGTTTTAAATTTAAAATTCCCATGTTATTCGTATGAAGGAAAAGAAAATTGTTGCAGTTTGCTTATTTATGGATATATTTTTATCAAACTTGGCAAACTTATTTATTTTATACTAAGCTAATGATATTAAACATAATTACACACTTTATAACCCTTCCAATAGCAGTAAACGTAGTACTTGTTAAATTTAAAGTTATTTAAATAGGGATTCTATCTTTCATTTTTAGGAAATATTTTAGTAAAAATCCAGGCAGGCAAATGGAAATTCATTTTTGGACACGATTGTTAATTTTTCCTTATTAGTATTAAAGAGAAATGGAAAATGGCGGCCGATTTTTTAAATGAATCCTTAATTGTCAACATTATCAAAAATTACCAAGAGCTAAATAATATTCGCTACTGAAAACTAAACAATTGATCTATTTACATTTTATTTACTTGACAAACAGTAAGAAAAATAAACAATCGTGTCTAAAAATGAATTTCCATTTGCCTACCTGGATTTTTACTAAAATATTTCCTAAAAATGAAAGATAGAATCCCTATTTAAATAACTTTAAATTTAACAAGTACTACGTTTACTGCTATTGGAAGGGTTATAAAGTGTGTAATTATGTTAAATATCATTAGCTTAGTATAAAATAAATAAGTTTGCCAAGTTTGATAAAAATATATCCATAAATAAGCAAACTGCAACAATTTTCTTTTCCTTCATACGAATAACATGGGAATTTTAAATTTAAAACTATTTTTATTATTTATCTCAATAGCCGTTAGAGATAGAGCAAACCTTGTAATATAAAAAATGTGTATTTTTAGGTGTTCTTTAACTTTTGTGTTTACAAACATTCTCTAATACCAATAGTTTGGGAAATATTGTCAAAAAAGTGAAAATTGGCCGCCATTTTCCAAGATGGCGGCTGAAGCACAGCAGGGATTTCCGGGGACTTTTGACATTTTCAAGAACATGGCTTACTTAACAGCTGTGCAAAATTTCTAGGTAGTTCGAATTTGTTAGGTCGATTTTCCTAATATTCTTCCACTATTAGAGCTAATCATACTAATATACATGTGAAAGTTGTGAGGAGTATGATTTATCTATGGTTGTGTGTTTGTTTGGGGTTCAATCACGCATTAACTACTAGTCAGATTGGGCTGAAATTTGGCATAATAGAATAGCTCACATCCCTGATTAACATAGGCCAATTCTTATCTCAAAAACCTTTGGCTCCACCCAAGGCCCCTAGTGGGGCCTTGCTCCACCCCAGTTGTTCCGTTGTTTCCCATGTTGACCTTATGAGTCCTTTTAATATTTAAAAGGAATTAAAGAATTTTGCCAGCTGTTTCAACTAAACAAGTTGATTCTTTGATGTTAAATATCATTAAAAAGTTATAAATAAGGTTTACTAACAGGGTGCAGCACTAATTATTTCTACTTTCTTCCCCTATACATAATAAATACATGGAGAAAGTATTGTTTTCGACAACATTTTTACTTTCTCCTCCTATACATAGTATATGGAAAAAGTATTGTTTTTGACAAAACTTTCGAGTTTTAGTTTTGAGAAACTTCTAAAGAGAGGTTTATGTTTTCGTTTATAACCTCTCATTGCCACTTACAATGATGCAACGAATCATTGTACCAAACACTAATTGCACTACTCATTATCAAATAAATTGGTTTAAACAGCTGATTAGTTGACATTCGAAGCATTACAATTTTCCTCTTCTCTCTCCATCCTTGAACATCATTGGCCCGTTACCCGTGTTGTTAAGCAAAACAACAATGCTGTTAAGAATAAGTAAACAACAATGAAGAACTGAACTAAAACGGTTCTTAAAAAAATGGTCGGAGGTAAAAATGTTAACGTAATACAATGTTTGTAGTCCAAAATCGACAATAGACTACAATTTGTATTTTTAGAATCACAGAGAAAGCTTTTGCACTAATACTGTAAGTACCTAGAAAACCATTGTTGGATAAAAATGATTGTGATAAAGTTGAATGGAATATTTTGTATGTTGTTTCTCAAACGCTTTAAGTGGACATATGGATCATCGATCTTTGTCACTTTAATGAAACGAGGTAATCAATTCATTTTTCAATCCAATTGTGAATGTGGGATGAGTGAGGCGCATTATGTAGATTATTCCTTACTGGTCAGCTGTTTATTTAATTAATGAGAATAATCTTTGGGGGAAAAAGCCCAGTGATCAAGAACAGCTATCGTCCAGATTTTAACATCAAAAAGCCATAAATTATTTTAGTTCTGTATAGATTCTAAAAATTAAAACACCTTTTCTCGCAACTTGCTTTGTGGCAAAAAGGAAAAATTACAGAAAGACAACTCTCTAGCTCTCTTCAATTCCAACAATAGCGGAGTCATCTACCAACATCAGCTGTAGCTGGAAAGTGACGTCACCCAATCGACGTACCTATTGTTGAGCACAGGTTGGCACCACTGCACCGCTGTTAGTGGCAACACTGTCGCCAGTCTCTCCTCAGCAACCACCGCTGCCGAAGCTGCTTATGCTGCTCTCTCACTCTTCCAGAGCCGCGACTGTCCCGTTAGTTGTCCTGTCTTTGTCTTGCTTCGTGGATCTAACAGTAATCAGTGGTCGTTGAAATCTTTAGCGTGCCAAACCTTGCCAATATCGATAAATAAACCATTGTTGGATATTTAGTGCAGATTGTTGAACAGTGTTTGTAGTTCTTCCACAGCAACAATGAGGATGACCACATTGATCAGCTGATTAAGGACTTCGTCAGCTGACTAAGGTAACGTTCACCTTTGCCTCGCCTTCACGCCAACGTTCAAGGCTTTTGCCTACCTTGTCCTCGCCTCGACTTGCTTATTTCCGATTGTATTGTAAACTTTACAATGTAAAGTGTTAAATTTCACTCCTTGTCTAATCGATTCTTTGAACTGTGTTTCCTAATTTGTTTCTCTGGGTTTCCCGTTGATTGTTTTAATTTGAGGTCGAACACCTTTGAATAGTAGGTTTAGTTTTCGTCGTTCTCGATTAGTTTATCTGATGCTTGATGACGTAAAATTTCTGACTAATTTGTCATAATGGTTTATAAACATGTATTTAATGTTTTGCAGACTATGCAGGTAGTTGTGGGGACGACAACTTTACTTTACTTTTACTTTTTTACTTTACCGGTATCGGTTTATGGGAAAAACTACTTATTCATGTAACTGATAAATGGTTAATGTTTGCTTTACTATTTAAATGATTAAACCATAAAACTGTTTTACCAACTTTGGCTCCAGTCTTGTTACAGTCAGTTGTTTTTGTTCTACCAAGTACCACAGAAAAGTATACTTCTACGTACGAGTGCCAAATGATAGTCCTGGTATTGTATTGGTCATCAACACGAGTTGACTTCACTTAGTTTCCCTTATAAATACGAACTAATACTTTTTTACATAGCCTAATTAAGTAAATGTGTCCAAACAAAAATGCTTCTCAACACTCACAAACTTTTCTTGAGTCCGCGTCTCAGAGAAAAGTTTGTGAGTGAGAGACACATGCGAACAGAGACGATTCTGATGATAATAATACGTCAACTTGCATCGAGATTGAGATTGAATCCGAAACATCAAAACAGTGTATTTTAGTCACGAAACTGTTCAGTAACACTGGTGTACTCCAAACCCGACCAAATCCAAGTATGAGAAAATTCACCCCTAAACACAATGTAAAGCTACGAAACGTAAAAATTTAGACACTATTTATGTATGGCTTCCCTCCAACCGACCTTGCTTTGCCCTTGGCTATTTGTCGACTTAACCGTGGTTAGAATATCTAATTACCTCCTTATGTTACGAATTGATAAGGGCCATCAAGTAGACAGAAGGCGCCAATGTGCCAAGGACTTATCGATTCCTCAAATCGGATTTCAAGTCCATTTTTATTTTAATGGTAACACTGTGTTTTTGTTAATAAGAATTAGGACAAGTAGTGGAATACTTATTTCTGATTAAATGTTTATAACAAATTGCTCAAGCTTAACGTGTTTCCAAAGTATTTAACGTTTGAGTCCAAACAAAAACGCAAAAAATCTGAGAAAAAGGTCTGGCCCTTGTCAATTTGTTTTGTTGGAAAAGTTGAAATTATTCACTTAGTATTTTTTATATGCTCGAAAGACACTTATTGACATTAAATAGAGCATTTTTAATACCCCTTCCGTACTTAACCACTCTTATTTTATGCGGATACGCCGGGGATCGAACCCGCCACTCTGCAATGAGGCTGGGACGCTAATCACTCCCCCAGACCTTTATGGATTTGTTTTGACATTTGAACTTCAACAATATTTTATTTTACATCTGTACTTCTATAACAAGACCCTCGTCTTTAAATTATGTTACCCCTTATCACCTGTTTCTCCATACCTCGCTAAGAAGTCAACCTTGATAACAAATCTTATTAAATAATCCCCATAAGAGTCTTGTTAATCGAGGTTCTCATGTACAAAAAACACGTTCTTACAATATAACCTCTGTGAAATGACGTTTCTACTTTTTATAACTTTTAAGTATTTTTAACAAAAATACGAGTAAAAACAGAACTTGATTGATTCGAGTAGAAATTAAGAAGTAAGAAGCCATTTTCAAAACTTAAATACCTTTTCTACACCGCGGGACCTCTTTCTGGTTTCGGAATATGATTGAAACCCAAAATGCATTTTATCTAGGGATTTTTATAGCAGACTTCGAGAAATGGAAAACAAATTATCTACTAAATTCTGACCGAGATAGGGATGAATCTTTTGTGAATTTCAGCTAATTCAATCTCAAAACGGAGTTCACTATGAAATTCGATCGAATTACAGACCAATCGGTTTAGTGGTTTGCGCACCTTCGATAATGTCAGTCGTAGTTTAAATATGTAGATTATGGTTATTCAAACATAACATTTTGGTTATTCTCTGTACCTGATCCCTATCACTACCCCTACATAGCCAGGGGCTGCTATCATGTAACCTAGCAACGACGACGCAAGCGCCTGTGTGTTTACCTGGGACTTGCATCTGTCATTTGTTTGCTTTTGATTGTGTTCATCACGTGAAGAATACCGAGTTTCTTGTGTCGCTTGGTGAGTTTTGATAGCATTTTTACTAATAGTTTGTTGAAAGTTCAGTGTTCAATTTATTTTTTACTTCGGTAAGCACTCCTCCCGAGATAAAATCATACAGCCTACATGTGGAATGCACACATTTATGTTTTTAGACAGAGATGTTAAATATATCAAATATGTTGAATAGTGACGAAAACATTTTTTAAACTTTCACGATACCGTATATTTTAAAACATAAAATGGTAGTTTAACAGTGAAATGGTACTTGCGTCGATGAATGTCTTCGCAAAACGCGGTTATAAGTGGCAGCCTGGTCTCAGATTAGTGTTCTTTAGATACTTTATGAGATTCCTCAGTAAAATACATGGTCAACATGTGTGAAATTCATTATTGCATGTATCACTGTATATAGCTACACAATATTCAACAGCATGTAAAAAATGCATCTTGTCACATGTAAGTGCAAAATTTATTGTAAAAATTGTGTTTACTGTAAAAATAAATAAATACTTGCGTATCTACATGCAGGATAAACCATTTAACGGTGCTATCATTGGTATCTCTACTATTAGATTTAAAGTAAACATGAAACTGAGAAGTTAAACTATTTTATCATGGAACACCCTGTATTTTATGTAAACAAATAGACACAGTTCCAATACTTATTTTCACTTCCTACTCTTTTAGCTACAGGATACATAAAATAATGTACACAGCAACTTTTTCCAAGGTGTAACACGCTGTTACTCCTATAGTAGTAGCTTTAGAGAAAAAGTCAAGAGTAAAATCGTTTTAAAATTACATTTAGATTCTAATTCAACATTTGTGTTTTCTCTAAATCGAATAGTTTCTGAGATTAATGGGTGCACAAAGTTGTTCACCCTGTTTAGCTGGGTAACTAGGCGGTTATAGTTCTGACATGGCAATCAAAACGTTCCTACTTCGATCCTGGAAAACCGAAAAGCCAGTAGCTTTTCGGTGGTTCGAGACCTCAGCTGTCCTTCATAGGGCTACCAGTATTAGTAAATTATCCAGATAACAGCTGATCTTAGTCAGTAACAAATGCTACACATGTCATCTGACTCTACTCACACACTCTCTTCGCATTCTCATTTTAAAATACCAAGTGTAGTTCACTTTTTCAATTAAATGGTAGTTATGGCGTGTCTGTAAGACTGGAAATAATAATTTACACTTCGTCACAAGACACAATATTGTCTAAAGATTATTCGACAGAGAATTCCATAATGTATCCACTGTAGTATCTACCACAGCTGAGTAGGAGGTATAGAGGTTACTCAAGTTACGTCACTATGATGTCAGATCCATATATCGACCTTACCAACCTAACTTATCCTACTTAGCTTGTTGCGCTCAAATATTCAAAACTTTTTACTATTCAGCTGTTTGCGGCGAATCTAACATAAGGAATGACGTATTTACCTTAGGTATCTTGTAATACCGAGACCATGATAGACTTATATACTTTTTCGATTTGACGCACCAAAGGTCGAAATCACCGTTAAAATCCATACATATACCACATGTCCGTTAGCACTTGAGCAAAAATGAATCGATTTTGATGAAATTTGGCACAAACGTGGCTATGTTTATTCGTATGAGTTCACGAACCACCATGATCGGTCTCTCGTAACGGTGTTTTATAGGGGTAAAAAGAAAAAGTGGGTTTTCCCATTTTTGACCCTGAAAACATAAAACTTCGTAATTCTTTCTCCATACTATTTTGTAAACAAACAATTTAGTTTATTGAAGCGTTGTTGTACGCTTAATAGCATGATTTCATATTAACCTGGGATTACAATTTTACTAAACAAACATTACCTTCCGTACTAACAAACCTAAGTACTCAACTAATGTCATTTAAGTAGTGAACCAATCTGACATGTTTAAGGCAATATTTAAGTAAAACTCCAATTAAAATGGGATTTTGCGTTGTCTGCTGATTTGCTGTAGCGGGGTTATTAACCAATTACAATCTCCTAGTTATCTCAATCTCACACTTGTACAGAAGTGTCATATATTTTTATCTCCTAGCTGTTGTAAATGTCAGAAGATTCGTAGAAGTTATCGAGGCCATGGAAAGATACACAGGTGTTATCATAGGCAAACAAACCGTGTAACTAGTGTAGACCTCCACCTACATCGACTCAGCTGTTGAATCGAACATATGTTTGGTGGTACGCGTGTTACAATTCACCGTATTTCATTATGCCACTAATGGATCAAACTAACTATACAAATGCAAATGTAATAATCTACAACATTTAAATTGTTCTATAACTTAATGAGTAATGTTAGAAATATGAATGTTTTACATGTACAGTATGAACAAAATAGGTATGGTTTTCAGCCAGTGCACCAAAAGAAGGTAATGGATAATATTCCATTGTTCAATAATCTGCCTGTGTAATATTTTTTTCTTATGCAATACAATGCACGTTTTCGTATGTATTGTCTTTATGCAATGCCCAGCCAAATTATCCGATCGACGTGAAAATTAGGAATTTATTCTTTGGAATTTTTTTTCTATTCCCGATCTTTAGGGCCTTACTTCTCGGGCTTCCTAAGCTGCTTTAATGTTTTTAATGGTTTCCACGCAAATCCCAATATATTAAATATGTTTATGTTGGTAAATAAAATTAAACCGCCATTCTAGAATTGGTTATATAA